ATGAATTATTGGTTCACAAAATTTACGTTCATTGTACTTGGAAATAGTAACAAAGTCAATTTGTTGTTGTAACAGCAATTATTTTTGAGAAATACCTTTACTTAAAGTCCAGTTTACTGTACAGTATCGCGCCTCGACTTAGTACTCCGATTCTTCTTAAGCAAACGGAATGCCAGCATCAGATCGTCTGATAATAGATAGGGATTCCTCGAATACTAGAATGCAACCTCATTTCAAATTCGCACAAAAGCAATAGGTTACATTCAATTTCATTTCGTGTCATCTATTACTAATTTCTCCAGCCATAAAATTGTTTATTATAGACAAAATCTCCTATTCGCGCTATGCTTTTGACGTTATTTAGGACAGTAAAATTTGCATTTATAATCTACTAGAAGAGCAACTGCTAAAGAAAATATGAAAATTGTATTACGCTGTAATATTCTAACATGATGGTTTTCCCACAGATTATTCCGTTTATCCGATTAATTATACGCAAGCCGAAAGTAATTCAATTTATTTAGTCATAAAGGATGCATGTAAAACTGTATATTTTGCTTATAATAAGTTTGTTGACCACAGTCATATGTCCAGTTTAAGCTTATATATATATATATATGGTATATACTCCTATTTTCTAACTAAGAAGCTGTTAAAAGGAGTTATTTTAATGTCTCTCGCGCGCGCGTGATAAAAAGTTTAAGCCTTTTTTTTATAAATACATAATAAACTCTGTATCTTAAATTTTTTTACTATTTTTATTTATGTAAAATAGTCTCTCTCTCTCCCCCCCCTCTCTCTCTCTCTCCCTCTCTCTCTCTTTTTCTCTCTCTTCCCCCTTCCCCCTCTCTTCCAAAATTTTAATACACTTTAACCTATAATCTAATTTATAATATCTATAATTTATGTATAATCACTTATTTGCTATAATAACGTAACTTAAAAAGTTACTTGTAGAAAGAAAAAAAAAAAAAGTGACAAAGAAAAAAATGAAAGAACATGTTTTCACTCTATTTCAAAATTAATATTGCAAAATTTTAATGATTTAAAGCGTTCAAACTCATTTGTTTATATATTTTATTTTTTTACCGTAAATAACGCTACTTTTACTTAGTTTATTTTTTAAGTTGTATCGTTGTTATAGCAAATAATTGTTTAAAAAATTTGTAAACCTATAAAAGTCTAGTAATGTAATATTGAATTTTAATTACAAAGCTTATAAATATATATATATATAAATAAATATTATAATAACATTAAATCTGTGCACAACTTACCAGCTGATAGAGTTAAATTCTCGCATTGTTCACGTGTGATATCAAAGTCAATTTGAGATTAATTAATTACGTTATTAGCATTATGTGAATAACTTCATCTATTTAAATACAAATAATCTATCAGTACATATATATAACATTTGTTACCACAATGAATGACGTTCATATTATGAATATTACAACATAAATGTCGAAGTTGGTGTACATTGGTGTACATCACGTTAAATGTTTATATGCTTCCGCTTTACAAGACTTCATTAATTAAAGTGTTCACAATATATAACAAAGTGCTCAAAAGCCAACGTTCAATGTACCATATGTCGACCATAAAATATAGGCCCATATAATATCGCATATTTTGCATCATAAGTACGTAATATGTAATATCCGGAGTGCCAGCACCTTCACTATACAAATCAGCGCGGAAAGAGAAATGCACATCTAAACGTACGAACTAACCGCAGTTAATACGATTATAAGTGATTTATGAAAAGTTAATTTCGTAAACAATAAATGTTTAATTATTAATTAACGCGATACATTTTACGTATTAATATTTCGTATGCAAATTAAAAATTAATTTACGTTTACCCGCGCACAATTAATTTAAATATTGTTAAATCTTTGACGCACTTTCCATTCACCATTTATTTACAACTTTACATTCTATGTATACTGAATGTAAAACTGTAATACTATTCTTTATTTATAATAATGTATTATATTATCTTTAATATTATTAAATATTATCGTATTTTGATATCAATTTTGTCAGATATTCATATTTAATTACCTACAAAATTTATCTATTTATGCGTTTACATTACACCATATATCATGTCATCTGCTTGTAAATAGCTGAATTAATAACAGCATTTAAACGGAAACCGTTGGCATGATTAATTCACTAGTATGTAGATATACAGCTAATTGTCTTTTGATAAACATTCAAAACCACGATCCGTCATTTACATCATATACATCCAATTGAGCATATATTTATCGCGATTGAAAATTGACATAAATATGTATTGCCAAATCGTATTTTAATACCTTCTCTGTCTTACGTTTTAATTAAAGATAATTGTTAATATTATCGTTTTTGGATTTTTCACTTTTGCACAACAATATGTTAAATATAATGTGTTATCAACAGCAATTTTTTTATATAATTTTTATTAGTAAGTGATTTTTCACACGAATTTGAAGATTATACGAGCTATCAGGAGAAACATGTTTTCGGCACGGAGATCGCGCGCGTACTGAAAATCCCAGCAACCACCCTCATCGACCCTCTCTATCTGCCCTCGTTCCAATACAGACAACGGTATATATGTAACGCGCGTATATGTAAAACGCATAAGCTGTAGTGTATATGGGATTGATAAAAGTAAAGATGCATTTGTGAAATTAAATGTAATTTTTATGAAATTTATTGTTTATCGTCTTTTATCACAGATATCACTTCTCTTGATTGTATAGCGAAAATATCGTTTTAATACACGCGAACATTTCCATACAGCACTGATCATTCCAGTATTGCAACAACATTGCAATGTTTCAGGAATGATATTACAGTAATATTGTAACGTTGTTACTAGTTACTGCTGTCTTACTTCAAAAGTAATTAAATTATAAAATTTTTCATTATATATTATCATGAATGTATTAAGTAAACATTATCTTAGACACCAATTATCAAAAGTGAACTAATTTAACTTTATTAAAATATCGTCGAAACACATCATCACAAATCAAAAGAAATTGATTTTTTTAAGAGTTATGAAACTAAAAATAAGAAAAATGACATTTGAACATATCAAGAAAATATTATAATTTCGATATTATTTTATTAGTCAATAATTTTTTAAGTTAAAAAATAAGTTTTTTTTTCTAAAAAACTTAATTTTTTGAATTGTGACACTCATAAAATAATGATGATATAATGTGTGACTATGATAATACAATAATTACATATAAAATAATTAATTGTCAAATTACAATTATTAGAACCGTTACAATTATCAATGTAGTTTTATATAGTTTAACTTATATTTAGTGTCATATTTTTGTAATTAAAATAAAAAAATTTATATCTAAAAAGTTAAAGTAATAAAGTAATTTTATATTAGAGGAAAGTCGTCGATACCGACATATCATTTTGTTTTTAGACAATATTTCTTAAACAAAAGATAAATAAAACTTTAAAATCATAAGTACGAACTAAAAAGTCTCTTCTATCAGGTAGTATAAGCAGCTTTTATAACACTGTTTGCAATTTTGCAATAATTAATTTTTTCGTAAGATAAGCAAAAATAAGCATCTGACAAAATAGTCTCCAAAACTGACACAATAGGCAGTAATGCTACGTATTCCTATTCTTTTTTGTTTATAGAAATTATCTGTATAAAATACTTACAAGTGAATGTACATATATAAGATTTTCAAGAATTTTTTCACTTCACGTTATAAAATTTTTATTGAATTATTTTAAACATTTTTATTGAATTATATACATATTTATTTCATGCTGTTTTGCAAATATGTAATGCGATAGTTTGTCAAAAGTTTTTGTATATACACGATTGCCTTCAGTTTCAATAAAGCTATTTGATACTATAAAGCAACATATAAAGTTAGTTCATGATCTGTTTTACTGACAGGTGTGGCGATTTACGCTGCACTCCAATTTTTAATTAAAAATCATATTATAAAAAAACTAAGAGAAAGGAATTATATAAATAAATCTGATTTATAGAAAATTAAAAACATTTAAAATGACATAATAATATCAACAATATAGTCACTACTATTTCAATTACGCAATTTGCAAAAGAAAATCATAAGAATTTTCGCAGAATTTATTTTTAACTGATTTGGTATAGAAACAAGCCATAAATATACGAATTATGAGTTCGTATTTCTTTAAATTGCTAAACAGAACATAATTTTATTAGTATTAAGGAGTATAGACAGAGTAAAAGTTTGAAAAAATTGATTTTTTAATTTTCTAATATTTTGAAAGATATAAGTATTGAAAATACATACGAGTATGTCAAGTTTTAAAGAGATATTCGAACAGTTGAGGAGATACAGCAGTTTTTGTACGCACAAAAGCACTAGAACTACTTCTGACGTTCTGCTCTTTCGAAGAAGTGGTTTAGATACGGAAGAGCTATTATATGGTCCAGGGATTGCTAAAATAAGAGTAACTTAAATTTTTTAATTTAAATTTGTGCAATATAGTAATCTGAAAGTAAACGCGTTTTTTCAAAATCATTTGCTGTAAACCAGTTTTTCGACCTGGTTGACAGCAAATCAAAAAATCTACTCGACCTATTGACTTGATGTAAATTGCATTTTATTCAGAAAACTTACTCTATCGCCGGACATAGCCATTTTTTTAATTAATAAAAATTTCACAATTTTGTTCAACTTTTTTGTAGGAGAAAATCGCCGGGAAACATCGTAATGTTTAAACAAAATTGTAATAAAAATATTAAAGAGATACTTCTGAGAGATACGTTACATTAAACTTTGGTTCATTGGGAATAAAACAAAACAATATTTTTACGAAAATAAATATTAAATTAGTATTTAAATTAGATTTTTAAAAAAAGCTCTCGGTACAATTTGGAGATCGAGTCGTTAAATTGTACCACCTGATTCCTAAATCGTACTTCTAATATAGCAAACAAGCTGACATTGCTCATTTTGATATTAAAATAACATCTTTTACGTCAAAATGACGGTAAATAACGTCAGTTTGTTTACTGGGAAAATAAACAAAATTAATTTTTAAATTCATTTAATAAATATTTATTTTTAAATTCAGTATACATATTTAAGTGGATATAATAAAAACTTTTTTATTATAAAAACAGAAATTAGACTCTGTGTTTTTTAAATTCATTTAAGAAAATAAAGTAAAAAGCAATACTTAAATTAATTTAAGCTATCATTGCACTATATTTCAGAATATTAAAATCTCAGATATTTTGAAAAAATAAATTTTAGAAATAAAATCAATTACGGATTTTTCCGTCACACAATAGAAAAGATTCAATAGAAAGACTCAATAGAAAGACTCAATAGAAAAATTTAATAGAAAGACTCAATAGTTGATAAGTAATCACTTTCTTGAGCACTTATTTAAACAATTTTAGCAAATTTCAGGATTGTCACTACAGGTTTGGTGCAAACTTAAAGCACCTGACACACTGAATCCAATCCATTGTAGGTTTTAATAATAGTAACCTTCACATATTGCTCGCGTCACTTGCGAAAATCGTACCGGTACAATATAAAGACCAACGACAAATACGATTTATCCAACTCTCTCCATTTTTACAAATTTGCCAATAGCAACATAAGTTACAAATATTTTACTAATTCGATGCTATACTCGAAAAGAGTTTAAATATCAATTATAACATGATGAACACTAATTCAATTACCCATCTTGTACTGATAATACCTTAGGTAAATTATGCCAAAACTTAGATCAGACACTGAACAAAATCAGTTTTAATTGTTACTCGTAAACAGACTCGAAGACAAAAAAATGATAGTTCTTAACCTATATTAGCGCGTCATCACATCAATGTCATTATCTTTTAAGAAAAATATTTTGTTTAGAAAATATAATGGAAGTACGACTTAGCTAACTCCATCCTAACAAAAGAAAGGCCAAATTAAAAAAAAGATTTACATGTTCGTCATTTTGTTACTTTTTACGATTTTGTAATTTTCCTACGTCCGGCTATATAGCTATATTTATTTTTTATTATCATAATTTTTTTTTGTATCTAACAGCGCATATAATCGAAAATAAACAAACAAATAAACGGCGAAAGAAGAGTCAGTAGGTTCAAAAAACATTTAATTAGTTAAAATTATTAAGCGACGATACATGAACAGATACGGAACGGGGCATATAAATGTGTAAATGTATATAATCGATTCATTGTCAACGAGGAAAAGTAACTGTTCAAGATTATCCTTTGTACAGCAGCCTTAAATCTAATAACGGAAACAAAAAAATTTTTTTACGTACTTC